CGGCCAGGCCTGGCTGCAGTTCTCCGGGCGACCGGTAGATGCCCCCAGAGACCGTTAAACCCCGTGAGCGACGCCGCGCCCGCCGGGCGGCCGGTCGGGCCTGCTCCGCTCCGCTGCTCGGGGCACCGTCGCTGGATCGGCGTGGGCGCCACGCGGGACCGCGATGTTGCTGGCTTAGTGCTGAGCCGTAGTTTGTTAGGGGGTGAGGCGCCAAGGGCTTTGGGTACACCAGTTCGTTAGCGTAGCAGAAACACAGTGTTAGCGGGGTTTATGGAATAACTCGTGTGGGTGCAGTTAGGTGTCAGGTTTTGGTACCGACAATAGAAATAAAGTAATCTTCAGTCATGTAAAACATGAGGTGTTCCATCTAACCTCTTGTTTTACGTGCTGCGTGACATCACGGAAAGCAGTGTGAAAAGGATGTTGAGGATCGGGAGTTGCAGTTTGTCTCCAGGTACCATGAAAAGTTCACTTGTGTCACCTCCGCGGCTCCTCAGTTCCAAAGCGCGGTTTGCTGGAAGGAAGGGGCACTGGCGGGTGGAACGCTCTGGCAAGTGGGGGAGCCTTTTTTGGTGTCGGGCTCTCTCAGGTGTCACGAATGCCGTTCGTCCCTGTCACACCATTTGTTTCTAGCCCTGTTTGTGTGGGGTCAGTCACTGGTGGCATGTACGTGGCAGAAACTTAAGGGAACAACAGCAGCACCGCTTTGCGCTTTGTGTACTTTCTGTTTTTGAGTATAATTGGGAGATAACTTTTGGTTTTATGCCTGTAAAATTTGAATGGTTAAACAGTAGATAGCTTCATTGCTTGTGAGTTAAAATCAGTTATCTTTGCCTAAGAAAAAAAAGTGCTCTGTACCGTATGATTAGTTCAGCATTATTTCGATTTCTTTGTTAATTGGGATGGGATTTATTAAAAGAATATTGACACTAATTTTTTAAACTGACCTATTTTACTGTATAGTTTTTTGTTTTTTTCCTGTATTGTTTTGCTAATGATGCTGTCTTGTGGGGAAAATGTGCTTTGACTTAAAGTCCAATGGGTCGGTCTACAGGAAACAACGTCACGTGGACACAGTTTCTCATTTATACAAATATTGGTGCTGTGCTCAGGGAGTATGCAGTGCATGTTAAAATTTAACTGAATAACATTTTGTTTAGTCACTGTTGAGAGCTTTTAGCGGTACTTTCTTCATTACTTCCACTGCATCTAGTGATCTCATGCATGAACACATACACACGTATGTAGATCACACTATATAAATAAATATGCATGTATATGTGTCTGCTATACAGATTGTTATTCCACTGCTCTGGGTTGTATTACTGTAGGATTCTGTCCTAGGCCTTTGGAATTTGGTGTGAATTTTTTGCCTATATTCTTTGATTGTTTTTTTTTAATTAGATAGAATTTTAAAGCAGAAAAAAGAAAGCATTCCGTATACAGAGCAAAGAATGCATTGCACTGTATTAACATAATATATTTACAGTACTTTTAAGCTGTATACTGTGCATCTGATATATAACAAATATTCTGGCAAATTCAAATTTATATGTTTAAAGGTATTTCTCATTTACTTTTCTAAGATAAATGTTCCAAATGTTTTCTGGTAGAGAGTAGTTACATATTTTCACTTGTCTGTGTAAACACTGTGTGCTTTTCGATCTCAGAATAACACCTATTTATATATTAAACACAAATTCAGTACTGTCTAGTCTAAATCATATCAGGTTTTTGTAATACGTTTGTGTTTGGTTCTGCAATGGAAATGTCAAAAATACATATGAAGAATTAATATGCATCTACGCAGTAATTAATATATTTTATTTTAATCATATTAAATGTGAAATAATGTATATTATTTACTTCTTACATCTCACGTTACTGTTTATTTCAATGACATCTAGCTAAGAAGTGTTTTACATCGCTTCCATCTTATTAGTGTTGTTGTTGAACTGCAGTAGCTCTTTTTAGGCTAGAAGTATTGGTCTCATTAGGCTATTGTTTAGCATGAGGTCATCTGAATTTATTACATACAATATAAATCTCGGGTTTCAGGTTTCCATATTTATTTTAAAGCTGCTGAGGATTTGAAGTTAAATGGATTTTAATCTAAAAAGACAGTCTTGAAAAAAGTTTGGAAACTTGATGGAATATAGAAAATAAAATTAACACATCTGGGTCCTTGCTGTTTTACTGGGACAAAGGTTTGTCTTCTCACACTAGATAACTACTCCTGCAAACCTTTACATCTGCACTTTAGTGTTGCAGGCAGTCCCATTGGACTCATAGTTTTCTCCAGGATAGGACACAATGATTGTTTCATGCCACATAAAAGAAATATTTTGATTATTTCCATAAATAATACCTCGAAAGATATATTACCTCCTGAGAATATTTGGTTACACAACTTTTTGATATGTATATCTTATCAGAGTTTATGAATGAGATAACTTTGATTTAAATTCACCTTTGCATCATTTGATTTTAAAATTAGGGAGAAATGATTGAACTTTTGCATCACTAAACCAGTTCCGGCTGAAGCTATATGCTGAACGGAAGCAAAATAATATCTAATAATTATATTTCTGGCATAGCATTTGTTTGATGTTTTAAACCAAGCCATCATATCCTACAGCAAAACTATTTAACATATACATTGTTTTGACGTGTGGAATGTGCCTCATTTTTCCCTGTGCAGTGTTTTAAAGCAAACGAAGAGTTCATTGTGTTTTCATGAACTAATGTAAACATGGATTTTTTTTTTCCCCATCAGTCAGCCTCTCTTACGAATACCAGCTAAAGAATACCAGTATATTTTTAACATGTTTTCAATACGTATATTGGTATTTATTCATTATTGCCATGTTTGCTTCCCTAGGGTATGACATTCATAATCGTATTTTAGCAGAATGCTTTTTGAGTGGGGTTAAAAATAGCCCTTCCTAGCTGCTGAACTGCAGAGGTCTCCTCTTGAAAGCTGTTTTAGTTATCTTGCGCTTATTTGGGAAGGTGGAGAACAGAGTACAGGTTTAAAGGCTTAAAATCTATCTTTCTTATTCCCAGTAACAGGAATTCATACAAGAAGAACATCTGCATAGACATGCTGCGACAGGGTTATCACAAGTCCTTCTCCGAGCTCTGCACTCTGATACAGAAGTGGAATGCCTTGAGGGAGGCTGCGGGGCCTGGGTCAGCCATATGGCAGCAGAAGTCCCTGGAGGAGCAGCCTGATAAGCTGGATCAGCTTCGCCACTTCCTGACCAGGGCTGAGGCAGCCCGGCGAGCAGGTAGAAGCCAGTGGCTGGGGGAAGCTTCCAAATTGTTTCATGTATGAATTTGAAATGTTGCTGCATCTTAGCACATTTCAGCCTTAGTCGACTAAGCTGTATTCAGAGAATAAATGATTAGGAGCTGCAGATATTGGGAGGGGTTTGGTGAAGAAAGAAAAAATAAAAGGGAGAAACATGCAGGGTGCGTTATGATATCATCAGAAACGTTTGATGTATGTATAGCTTTGATAACATCTCAATTATTTTCTCATAGTTTCATTATTCTATTGTGTTTCTTTCTGTATTGATTTGAGTAGCTGGTTTTGCATTAGAAAAATTTAGTAGGTGAAATGCTGCTTCACACAGTAGTAGTTTTGTAAATCTGATTTTATTAAATACCCTGTCTGCTAAGTGTTTGGATTTGTGACTGATTTAAAAAGGATTGTGAATGTGTCGAATAAAATACAGCACACAGATGTAACATGCCACCTGTGAATTACTAGGTATTAGTGAAGACATAACTCCAAATTACTGTATTTTCTCTATTGCCTACTATTTAATAAGCGCTCATATTTATCATTTCCTTTTACTATAAATAGTAATATAATCTACACTGTCTTTCTCCTTTGGAATAATTGTAAGGATGGAGGCAGATAAAGCTCTAACTCCAGTCTTGTTTCATGGCTGAGCTGGTTTTGCTATACTTGGTTTATTTCAAGTTGCATTTTGATCATTACCAATATGAAAATCTACAATAAAGCTTGTCAGTTTGGAACCTGTTTGGCTGAAATTCAGAAACAGACAACTTCATTTAACAAAGGAACCACAAAAGTACCCTTTCACCACTTAAAAAAATGTTAATTTAAAATGTTTATTTTATGTATACTGTGAAAGCCAAAAGTTGTGTTTCTTTATTTAATTCAGTATAATTCTAGGCAGGAAATCTACCCAGCCCGTGATTGGAAGGAACCTTCGGATTTGTCTGGAGTATGCCTAAAACCTGAATAGGCATCCCTGTAGCTGGCAGGAGCACAAGAGAGGAGTTTTGCACTCAGAGTGCCCTGACAGAAGCATACTGCCAACACTTTGATGTTGAAGAAGTAGCAGAGATGGCTTCTCTTGATGGGCCTGCTTCCTGCAGCTGCTTGAGGAGAGCAGTTTGTCTTACTTCAGTGCACGGCATTTTTCACTGTTACAAACTCGTGTGTGACAACAGAGTTGGCAAACACGCTCCCAGAGAGCCAAGGTGCTGCTGACGGTGCAGTTTGTGCCCCAGTGAAAGGCAGGAGCCCTTTCTCTCACTGAACCCAGCGTTCACTATGTGATGGGCTCTTTAAGTCTTTCACTTCTCTCAGAGACAAGATACCACCAATTTTATGAGTGATTATATCTTGCCCCTAGGAGAGAATATCTCCCAGCGTTGCCTGTTAAAGTTGGTTAAAATGAAAGAAGAGAAAATAATATGAATGTGCCAACAGAGTTGGCAAGCATCTTTATTGAATTGCTCGATCAAGGTATAGTTAGTTTTGAATTTTTCACCACTTTCAGTGCAAACCTTTGCACAAATCTCTTGTTTGTTTTAAGTGAGGCTTGAATCACCTGGCACATGAAGAGGTGGATGCTAATTCACGTTGCAGGTGTTAGAGCCAGTAGTGCTGTGACTACATAACAGATGAATTATACAGCTCATCAAATACCAATTCAGTAGTTCCACTAATCCAGTTACTCTCTGATTCTCATCAAATTGCTTGGGGCTCTGTCTTATGATCTCCTGACAACTCTAGCTGACACCATTTAAGTAATGTTCAGCAGTTCACCTCAGCTGGAACTTACCGTGATGTAGAAGTCACAACAGCAGCTGACCTGCATTTGCTCTTCGGCCACCACAGTTCAAGCTTAAAAGGCTGAAAGTAATATTTGGGGTTGTAAACTGTGGGAGTTTCACAGTGTGGCTGATGTGACTAATATTAGGCTAGCTGAAAGTTTACCTTTCTCAGGTATGCTGTCTTGAGCTAACAGTTGTGTTGAGGAAGAGATAGCAGGTATAAATTACGGGGAAAAAAAATCTTCATGACTTGTAAGTTTTTTGATTAAACTATACTTTATTAAGGGATTGGTTTTGAACCTGAAGTGGTAAACAAATGGAAAACAAAACTTCACTTACTATGTCAGTAAATAATTTTTTTATTTGTTTTTTATTTTTTCTCATCTGATTTTTTTGCATCATAGTGTGCTGGTGTCTTAATTGTGAATGTAACTTAGAACTGCTGCTCCTAAGTTTAGAGTTTTATGGTCGTTACTGTAGTGCACAGAGAAAGCCAGGTATTCATTCACTTTCCATATTTATTGGTAGAATATGTTAATCTTATAATTTTTTTTGTAGTTTGTATTTATAGGACACTATAATGCTGGACATAAATTGTTTGCTTGAACAGAATCAGAGCCAGCCATCACAATGCGGAGGCTGATATCAAAGAGCAATTGTTTTCTTCACTGCTGGGTTTTAAAATAGTGACATTTTGTTTACTGGTGTTACATTGTACAAACCGTTTACCTTTGCATACACCAGTGAGTGTTCTCTATGTTTTGATTGAACTTCAAATCATACAGGAGTCACCTTTTTTTTTAATTGTCTATTACTAATATTATGCTGTGTGCAAAGAAAAGATTTTCTTCTGTACAACTTACTCTCCTTGTCATTGTATTTGAATACCTTCCAAGTATTTAAAAATAGAGAGATAGCATTAATCCTTGCATCTTCTTAGAAAAATAGCTGATAGTTACTTTGCCCTAGGTACAGCATTATCTCAAAAACACTAGCAGAAATATTGGCAGTGCTTGGCTGCATTCCTATTTGGTGTTTTTTGATGCAAATGATGTAAATGTGTCTGACTTCAAAATTGAGTTGTTTCTAATTATTCCTTGATCTTCCTTCATTATCATGGACTAACCTCTCTTTTTAACAGTTCTGGTCTCAGTAGCTTGAAAAAAAAAGGAGATAGTTTAGCTGTTTAAATGTGTATAGTTGTAGGGTTTTTCACAGAAGCATGCAGGATAAATGCCAAAGCAATGTATCTACATAGCTCAGCATTTGATGTATACAGTTATTTCTTGGCACATATACAAAAATGTTGGGGTTTTTTTCAGAAAGAAAGTTATATTTTGAGGCTATGGAATGGCCTGCCCAATTGTGTGCTTTTCTGCCTGATTGTACTGCTCAGAGTAAGTTCACTTGAAGGTATAATTGTCCTTGAAAGTATCATACAGTGCTGGCAGGTTGTTGCTGCTATCCCTTTGAAGAGCCATAGCTCTCTAGCCCCTACTCAGTACCGTTCTGCAGGTTAGTGGGAGGGGGAAGCTTGAAGCCAGAGTCTATCCTTGTCTGACATTCGGGGTTGCTAACTAAATATCCTTTGGCTACTGACACCCTGTGAACAAATGATGAGCATACCCTACAGTGGTGTGCCATCTGAATAGAATCTTTTTTTGTCCATTTTGTTTGTCTAAGGCCCAGACAAAATTTGACTCTATATCCCTGTGTGTTTGGGTGGGTCATGAGGAAGAAGTAGGAACAAAGGAAATCCAACTAAGTCTTGTATTTTGGAATTTTTGAACAGCACCCAGTGTACTGTGTGCCTAGGAGAACAGTTCATTATAACAATAATATTGCTGTTCCTCAGATAAAAGTATTTAAAAGTGAAGTTAAAACCTTTAAGCTGGTATTTGCACAGATTTTACCATATGAATGTAACTGGTTCTTTAAATCCCTACTTGGCTGCTACAGTCTGTCTTATTGTTCTAAAATGCGTTACTAATTTACCTGTTAGGCCTGTATGCTCATTAGGCTAAAGCTCTTCTTTGAATCATCTCGTCAAAGTATCATGTAACTACTTTTATTTAGTCAGTTAGCACTGAGCCTACCAGAAGAATGACTGATAGTACGCAGATTATACTGTAAAGCATCAATTGTGTGTTTCAGGCGAAGGCCAGCCTCTCAGTGATAGTGTGCCACATCTATGTTTTGTTAAATTAGAGATCACCTGTCTCAGTATTATTTCAGAAGGGCTTGAAACGTGTTGCTCTTTAGATTACATCTGAATTACATATTAAACGTAGGCTTGAACCCTAACTGAATCCTTACCTAGGACTAGCAGAGGCCTTGAAGAGCTTCTATGATCAGTGCTTGCTAGAGTGAGCTGGTTTACTTATATTGTACAAGTGGAGGGGCATGAAAGGCAGGTTACAGCTCCAGAGCAATTAAAGGGAGAGATGTCTCGGACATCGGCTCTGCTTTGCCAGAGCAGAGGAGCAAAACCAGGGAAAATGCCACAGTTCAGTGACTGCAGCATATATTGAGCAGTCAGCACTGTAGTGGCAGATCATTGTGTTCACTGTGCCAATGCATGGAACCTATGTTCAGGTGTGAGTATGCCTTCAAAGGGGCAAGACACCATTCATTAGTTGATCGCTGGGGCAGCTGGTGGAGAGTAGGAGTTAAGATCTGGAAGCGGTTGCCTTTCTCAGATTCCATCTGCTCCCCGTTCCTGACCCCATGCAACCCCTGTGATGTGCTGTATGCTAAATGCTGAATCTAAGTGTGTGCTACAGGCTGCTGATCTTTGTTCCAGAGCATAGCAGGTGCAGAATTAGAAGGAAGTGCTAACTTGGCTCTTTTTTCCTTGTTTCAGTGTAGAGAAAACTTCTGACGGCATGAGTTATCATTTGTTGTTGTTGTAAAAGATGACTTTTCATAGAGTATATGAAGAAAGCATGAGTATTTGATGTGTTTGCACTGGAAAATCTTTCTTTGTCTGAGATACTTAAGGTTGAAAACGGAGTTTAGCATTTTACAGTGGAAAGCATTTCTGTAAGATTTCACACTTATGCCGTAGGCTGAGCTAGAAACATTGCAATAACTGTATTACCCATGCTGTTTTGGAAAAAAAAAAAACAGGAAAGCAGTTGTGCATTTAAAAAAGAAGAAGGATAAACATACCAAAACCTCTTTTAATATTTGC